ATTTACTATCGAATGAAATCCGGTTTCCAAAGTGATGTGTTTGTAGATCCATGCAACAAGTTTTTTCGATAATGATATTACGAAAATAATTCGACTTTATTTAATTAATAATTATTAAAGAATAAATGCCGTATAAAACAATAATAAATACACCCCATAAAGTTCACATTTTTGTCACCAGCTAGCGTTAAAGTCATGACGCACGGTCCCTGAGGTCGAAAAACTTTTTGACAGTCAGTGGCTGACGGCTATCTCCGTAGCTGCCAGCTATCCTAAATAGCCGGAGATTGAAAAACCGGACCATAGACCGACAGGATTGAAAGGTCTGCAGATTGTCAGCAAAGAGAGAGGGGATTATTTTTTCAGTTCTTTAGAACCAGGTTTTATATTGCATGAGAGGTGTCGCAAACATTACGTAGCTCGACGTTACGGAAAAGAGTTTATTTATAAAACCTGGGATAGGCATAAAAGGGCCGCGATTGACAATGCAAAAAAAAAGGAAGATGGAGCATCAACCGAGAAGAAAACCAAATGTTAGAGAACAAAAAACAAGCTTATCACCAAGTTGGAACTTACACTCAAGCTTAGGATTAATTTCCTAACATTTTTAAAGTATACCTTTTTGTATATTTTTTTGTGCTCTTCCCAATGGCGCAGTTAGTTTCTTCAAATATATTTTTTGTTAGATGTTTTCGGAAAACCCGGAGAAAATCATATGGGAAAAAAATTAAAAAAAATTTACGCCTTCCGGTTTCCTGCGAATTCCTGAAAAATTATGGCAGATTTCGCCGCGGGACTTATTTTATTTGAGAGCCCACAAAAAAATACGCAACTTCTCTCATCATTTATAATTTCGCCACAAATTCATGGCAAATTTCATGTTCATGATTCTGATCAAAGAAACGAAAAAACAACTTTTTGGTAAAAGCACTTCTGGCGGCGCCATTAAAACTACCTGTGCAATGAGATTCCGAACTATTTTTGCCTCCTCTTTCGATTGGTGCATTTATTTTTACTATCAGAATGATACTTGCCCAGATAATTAGCATTTTTACCATGGAAAATTCCGGAAAACCCGGTTTTTCCTAATTTAAAAAAATTGAAAAACAGCTACATCATTTTTTTCTTTTTTTCGGAAAGATCACATCAAAATACACAAGATCTACTTTGTTTCATCCAATTACAAATTAATGTAAGCTTGAAGGGGTTTTTTTTTCGTTATTTAATTGGACTATAGGTACATACCTTAAGAGTATGTATTTAAAACATTGTGTATGCCTTACAAATTTACAATTAGAATTTTAGAGATTAAAGTTCCCAGCACTATAACTAAATACTATTATTCAACAAATAAATTAGCGATTAAAAAAGAAAGTTATCAAAAATATTTATTTTTATTAATTTAGGTAATAAACAATTAATCACAAATTTCCATTTCAAATATTTTCAAACCTGATTTAGACACAATAATTTATGCCTTTAGATAATCGACTATTAATAAATTATTGTTCATTTTGCACAATTAAAATGTTTACTTTTATAAATATTAATAATAAAGATAAATAATTTAAAGAAAGAAAAAATCTTTTATTTTGCAACAAAAATCCATAAGATCGCATTAGTCCCACTCAACATTTTTTTTTTTTTTTAACTTTTACTGCCTTCACTTTTTTGCACAATGCATAATTAATTCTGTAATTATTATACTCATAAAAATTACTTTTTAGAGCGCATAAAAATTGATAATGCGATGGAACAAGGGCACAGGAAATATTTCTAGATATTTTCCGACACATCCTCATATAAATAATTGTAAACGTAATTATTAATAATTAAATTACTTTTTTGTGTATAATCAATACTATCTATCAAACATAATTCAATTCATGTTCTACAAAAACAAAAACATTTTTAATCAATATAATAATGGATAATAAGCAATTATTGTCTGGCAATTACTGCATTGTTTAAGATATTCTAGGAATACAAACACTTTTGTTTACGATAAAAATATACTATGCACATTCTGAAGGATATTGCACCTGTAGTTAATTTTAATACATTTTATTGTATTTTTCAATCGTTTAATTATATTACTTATTTATCTGTATTAACAAATTTATTCAGTTTTAACATAATATGTATAATGTGTATATTAAATGTAATGTTATATAATCAATTCATTCAATAACAAGTAATATTTCGCCGAAATGTTCTATACATCGGGTATATATAATATATATATATACATCGGGACGGTGGTGTAGCGGTCTATCGCGCTTAAGGTAGGCGCGTAAGGCGACCGCCGACGCGACATACGACCACTGCACAACCACAGCTTATACAATACAGCTAAAACACTCTCTTGGCGGCAACGGTTTGCGTCGATTCCGTCGCGCATCGCTTAAGCTCCGCCTTCGGACGGAAAAGACTGCTTTGGCGTTCAGAAGCGTACTTAGGTAAGATATTGAGCCGTGCGTATAATTTTGTTGATTTTGTTTGAGCTCTCTGTTATGTTAAGTTGAAGGTATTGTTATTATTTTGATGACTCTTTAGATGTGAGTAGAATGAGTAAAAAAAATATCATTCTGTTTGTGCAGTCAAAAGCTGTTTTAATAAGGGTTATACCTGCAAGAAAATATTCTTTCGTTTTCCCAAGGTCCCAAACCGGAAAGTACCACATTATAAGAAATTTTCATTGTTAATAATATAATTATACAGGGTGTCCCATTAGTGTGTAATTGTTCAATATTTCAATTTGTGTTGTAGACACGCAAAAAAGTTTTAAATTAAGTTATATGGATTTGAAAAATACATATTTTAAAAATAGTTTTGGATATACAGGGTGTCGTGTTTTTGCCTAACAAATCAAAATGTATGTTTTTTAAATGGAACACCCTTTATTTTATTTTATTTTTAGAATGGTTTGGTAATACTGTATTTAATCCTAGAATGTATTAAAAAATATTACAGAGTTGCCAAGCAATTAAATTTTTTTTGAAATTAGAGAATGATGCAGACCCCAAATTAAATTAACATAATTTAGGTAGGTTTACATTGATTTCAAAATCGTTTAATATACAGACTTATAAGGTATTAGGCTAACGAATAGTGGTGATAGAACTGGTTTATTTTATACAGAGTTTGGTATAATGAAATATTTTATAATTGGATCAGTTCTAGGCTTACATCTATTTTATTGTTAGGTATTGAAAAATATATTTATATTCTTTGAAATTCATTATTTTATCCCACACTATTTTTTAAGGGTACTTTATTTTTGGAGCAATGTTGAGGTTCTATGGATAACCATCTGGTTCAGGGACAATTGATATTTAGATAAAACTGCCTTTTATTTGCAGTACATTAAATTCCTCACTCACAAGATAAGTGGATAATTCATTTGAGGATTCAACTGATTTTTTATCAATAATTTTATTGAGTGACAGTAGAATAGGTTAATATTAAAGCTGACAAATTATTTTTTACTTCACAAGTTATTGATTTAGTAGATTTATTAATAATGCAGAGTTATTTCAACCTCTTACGTTTATGAGGTTTTGAATTTGACCTACTGAGGAGAAAACAAAATGGAATCATGCCTTAAAAAAGATATAAAATCAAAGTGATGGGACATTAAAAATAGAATAATTAATTAATTGTTTTTACCAAAGTTTTTACCTATTAACCAAAGTAATTATTATGTACAAAACTTTCAGAAAATACATTATCTAATAATATCATTTTGGATTATAGGTTTATAATAATAGATATAAAATATAAGAACATTAAATTTCAATTAAACAAGATAAGTACCTAATCTATTTAATCAACCGACTCCACTCAATCACCAAAGATTGTTTCATCCAATTTCATCTAAATAATTTTATGTGGAATCGATTTTGTGTATCATTGTCTTAATATTGAAAATGACTATATTGTAGGTATTCTGCAAATCATTGATGATACTGCAATACGAGCTATGTCATGAAAAATTAATTTCTTGCAGTATCAATGACAAAATAATGACCCAATGCACATTTCATTATGATGAGACCTTAGTTAAACAGATTTTTTTGACTGAAATATCTTATCAAAAATTACCCTGCACTAAAAGTATTATATAGAACTCAAAATAGTGACAATGTGAATAACTCATTTTCTATTATTTAATCATTTATTTGTTATTTACAGAATATCCACGATATTTAAGCAGCTGGTTTGAAATATATTATACATAAATTATTTTTAAATAATTAAATAGTCAGGTAGATAATAAAAAAATCAGATAAGTAAAAACAAAAGTACCAAGTAGGTAACTCATTAATGATAAACTTAATTATTACATTTTATAATTCAAGGTACCTACTCATTTATGAACGAAATTAGATAATATTTTATTTGTCTAAGGTCCAAGTGGTACTTCCTTTGAAAGATGTCTCAACCACATTTTTGTTTTATTGTTATCAGTGGTCAAAAGGGCACTTCTATATCATCTTTAATGGCAATAATTTTTTTTAACATTTATTAATGTTTTTGGGTAAACTTGAAAAGAAAAATGCACTACATTAATTTAAAAACTAAGTTCAATATTAAAATCTAGGAGATCTACCTATATTAAAAAATAAGAGCTATATTTCAAATTAAATAAAAACAATGAGCTTAAATTAAAAATTAATGTTTCTGGACTACTTATATCATTTTAAACTGAAGTTCTTGCTAGAAAGTGAATACATAAAAGTTTCCTATATAAAATAAAATTTTCTTCTAATATTTAAGTGTATCTACAAAAAACTTAATTGTTGATGTTTTTATTTAGGATTTATAGATTATTTTGACCTGAATTACACTTTAAGCAATTGGTTTACCCTTTGAATACCTACCTACAAGTTAAATGAAATATAGCTTGATATAATTTTAAGAGTGTAAACAAAATGTTTATTTCACATAGGACCAGTATCAACCTTGTGCTTCAAATCATAAATAAAAAAAATACTAACCTTGGGAAACTAGTAATACTCATAATAGCCTCATCAGCTTTCAGTAACTCAGTGACTTCTTTACGTCTAAGCCTCATATTTGCTTCAACAATATTAAAATGAGCCAACAAACCTCCATAGGGTCGTCCAGGGGTTCCTTCTATCATATATGCACCATATTCAGGTCTCCAAAGAGACTTAACACCATTTGGATCCTCTAGTTCTTTTTTATTAAGTACTGTCAGCAATTCATCACCTCTGAGACTTACTTTAGCTTGTTTTTTCTCATCATTAAATTTAACTATAATATATTCAACCTCATCACCCCATTTAAGCACATCACCTTCTCTATCTCTAAGTTTTTTATATAAGTTTATAAATTGAGTAATACCGTGTTGGCGTACATGTGGGGCTAATTTTTTGGTTTCCTCCCATGACAAGGGGCTGCCTTCAGTTAAAAGACCCATTTTTCACTCTCACTTTTATCGAACACCGCGACGAATAACAACTTGCAGCAAAATGTGCTGCTACTATTATAAGTATTATATGGTATGTAATCGAGATACCACTATCTAACTTTTGATATTGCGCATTCTATCACTAATGATTGGACAAATATTTTGTATTTTATCTTCTTAAATATATTTTCAGCAAATGTCAACTTAAGAATTGTTAATAATATTATTTTCGGGACATTGGTAGACTTTCTCATACAAATTTTAATGCTTAAAAATACTTTGTTGTTTATGTATAAAGAAAGAACACGTATTATAAAAAGTTATGACCATTCGTATTAGGAATTAGAAAATGCAATGTCAAGGAAAAAAATAAAATCTGAAAAGAAGCAAAAAGCAAGTAAAAATCGTCTTCTTTTTCGTTTCTATCTCAGTTATGTTAGTGTTAGTGCAGTCGGTTATTCAGATAAAGTGCCTGTAGGCAATGATATGGCAACCCTGCGGGCCTGTTGGCTTTGACAGGGTCAATGTTGTATATAGTTATATAGATTGCTCATTGCAGGTCGCATTGCGAGTGACCATACTGCCTCGCAAGTGCTTATTATCGTTATGTGTGTCTTTTTTCCATTAATTTGTGGGAATCGCTGTTTCACAGATGCGACCTTAAACGCCTTGTGTTGAATTCGTTCAATTTGTAATTGATCATTGAAAGAAATAACAGTTTACGTTTAGTTTGGCTTAAAATTTGTGTTTATAATTTTTCCTACAATAGAACATTTAGGACCGATTCTACTACCGTTGTGTTAAACGAAGTTTAAAATGACATTTTTACATTAATAATGCCATTTTAATCTCCGTTTAACGCAACGGTGGAATCGGCCCTTAATTATTTAAATAATTAATTAACTCCTTGAGGGCCGATTCCACCATTGCGTTAAACGGAGATTAAAATGACATTATTAATGTAAAAATGTCATTTTAAACTTCGTTTAACACAACGGTGGAATCGATCCTAATTCCCGCAATCCAACTGTCAGTTATTGTCACATCTAAACGGAAAAACCATAAATTGAAGCTGATGGATTGGTGCTGCATCGATTACAGCAACGTTGGATAAATGGACACACGTATTGTTCGCGGAGCCTGTTGCCGACAAGTCCACGACAGTTGAGCATGTGCATTTTGATTTCAGGGGTTTGCGGATCCGAAAATCAGGGATTTTATCAAAATATCCAGCGTTCCCGGAACACATGTATAGTAGTACACGACAAGTTACCGACAAGTCAAAACGATCAGCAAACTATAGCTTTGTTGAAGAGCCTGTTAGCGACATGTCCACGAAGTTGAGCATGCGCATTTCGATTTTAAGCGTTCGTAGAGCCGAAAATCGAACGCTTAAAACAGCTTAAAATCGAAATGTGTTTTGTTTATTTTAAAAAAACATTAATGGTCACTATATAACTGCTATATAACTATCTATATCATTGACTCTGTCAAATCCACCTGGCCCACAGGGTTGCCATGGTTGCCATATTAATGCGAACCGTGAACTGATGATTTTCTAAGTAAAAATAGGATGATTTAAACAAAACATGTTTAGATAAAATGCTGGTTTCCGAAATATAGGGTGTTACAGTTGAAAATTCAAAAATTATTATTGTCAATATGTTTTTTCTTAGTTGGTATAATTTTACTACTATAGTGTAAATATTTTTGGTATCATAAGATACGCATATCAGCTAAAAAATCAGTTAAATATACTTTGCCAGTGGCGTACTGCATGGATATATAACTTCTTTATCCTATCTAAATTTTACGCTACTGTCCAAAAACTTCTTTGGACTATATACTTTTAAATTTTTTGACGCTTTTTTAAATAAATCATGTACTCTTGTCGTGAAATTATAAAAAAATCCAAAATTACAAAATTAAAAATAAATTCTGAAGAATATCGACCTTTGAGTGTAAAAATCTCGAAAACCAATCACTTTATGATTTAAAAAATATCAGAAAATATTAAAATATAGTCTAAATAAGTTTTTGGACAGTGGCGTAAATTTTAGAGGGGATGAAGGTGTTACTTATCCATGCCGAACGCGAACGCGAACGCGAACGAGAAAGTTTAGTTAACTGTTTTTTGTTGATAAAATTGTACTGAGAAATAAAAAAAATGCAGCCATTAATAATTCTTGAATTTTCAATTTTAACAGACCTCTTATTTTGTTGTCTTATTTTTAATGAGACACCCTGTATAAAAGCTTCCAGTATCCATTTACATACCCTTAAATAGTAATTTTGCTTAGGTACTTGAAAAAGACTATATGCCATGTAGGGCGAAGCTTAAAAACTAGTACCTAATGTTTTTACAACTTTATTACCTATAAGTGCACTCGTTTTCTGTTAAGGACGCTCTGTATGCGTACAATTAGGTACTTTTAGATGCTTATAAATATTTAAATTATTGATAACAAGTTTTTTACATTGTTGATACGTTCGATTCCGGTATTATGGAGCCTGGTTGCATTTTGAGTAGTTACATTCGAAGTTTTTTACGTCGTTGATCAGTTTTATTCCGGTATTATGAAGTCTAGTTACATTTCGAGTGTCTTATGTAATTAATTAAGAAAAATATGTGACCGGAAACTGGATAATACGTATATGTAGATGATCATATTTCCTTCTAATTTAAGTGTAAATTACGAGGGTGAATTGGTAAATTTACTACGTGTGTTACCAACAGTTTCAGATATTCGTTACAAACTAAATTTTAGTTCCCAGTAATAGAATTAGTGGTAGAGTATGGAATAGTAACCAAATAATTAAGTTTGGCAAAAAGTAGGCAAAATATACTACTATTTATTGTCTCAATGAAAACCACGCTTAACGGCCTAATATATTTTTAATGCAAAATGTAATAATGAAAAATATGATTGTAACGACCATTAATTATGTTTATTTATGATCATTTTAATTTTTTTTCAGCGAAAAAATGTTTACATTTCGGTTTTGTCAACTGTACTTCTAAGTCACGCGCCATATTGTTAAAACGTGTCTCACACCATTTATGTGTTATAGGATAAATTTAAGATTATTTTTGCCTCATAAATACACAGTGACTATTTTAGTTAAAAAAAAACTGCAGCTACTGGGAATGATTCATAAGGTAAATGGGGGAGATTGTCATACTATGACATCCTGCCTCATATACCAAAATATTGATTACATTATCTACTTAATATACACAAAGACAATTAATCTGAAAATGTATTAAAATTATTAAGTAGTCGCAATTAAGTTATTTTCATGTGCTGATTTCGAATCAACCCAAAATAATTAAAATAATATAAAAAAAATATTTTTAAAACCAATCTTTTATGAGTTCGACATATTGAATTTATAGTGACATAATTTTATTTTCGTATTCTTATCAGCAAACCTTTTAATTTGATACCTATATTATGATGGTAGATAAGAAAATTTTTACCCATATCGTAAGGTGCATAAAAAATTACTAGTCCGCCATCTTTTGGAGTTCGCAATATTTTTAACCATGCAACTATTCTGTAACAATTCCTTTATATTTAACGGCCTTTAAAAATATTTTCTTCTTTACTTCTGTCATTATTTAAACGGATCTTTAAAAAACATTAGAGGACTATCTTAAAGAAATCAGTTTAAATAATGACAGAAATAAATTAACGAATACGAAAATGTTTTTAAAGGCCGCCAATATTTTTAAAGGCCGTTAAATATAAAGGAATTTTTACAGAATAGGCCCCATTGTCATCCAAATTAAACGCGCATGCAAAATTTTAGCTCAATCGATTAAGGATGACTATTTTAAAATTCAGTTGCAAGATTTTTGACTTAAACAAACACAGAAGCATTGCAAGTTTCTTTAAATTAAAACTTAGACGTTTCATATATTTATATTGACAATATCAAAATCAAAAACAAAACTACAAATTATAAATCAAGAATGAAATTCAACAGAAAAACATTTTCTTTTGAAACAATCTAAATACCTACTTACGTTACGAGTTAATATTACAGATTCATATTCTGGACACCTCGTATATTCCTTTCTCCAGATATTTGGCCTATAGACTTAGTTTTGATTTTCCGTATTAATTTACGAATTAAAATATCTTTGTTTTTCTGTTACATATTAAACAAGTTTTGCTATAGTATAAAAGATCTTATTTTATTGATTGCAAGTCAGTAATGTGATAAAGATGATCGGTAAACCAGCCTTGGTAAGTGCGAAATGTAGTTCGGAAAATAAAATAAACATTATTTTTCTAAATTTGAATTATTTGGGCGATTTTTATTTGTGCATAACAATAGTGCTACTAAAAATAATGAATAAAAAACATGAGCGAAAGCTGTAATACTTAACATATTGAAAAAAATAATTAAAAAAAAAGAAATATAAATTTTGATATGAATATCGGTAATTAAAATTATACCTCTAAATCTGAATTATAAGGGTTGTTTATATATTTTCAGGTAAACTGTACAATTTGTTGCCAGAGATAGATGACTCTGAGAGGGTACTAAAAATACCTGGTATATTTTTTAAGTTTCTGTGAATTGTCGTTTATGGGCAAAACTGTTTTATGTTCAAATATTTTGAACCACCAGGTATATTTGGTTTAAATTGGACAATTATATTTTACTATCTAAACGCTTTTTTTTGTTGCTAAATTAGAAAACACATTTTTTTAAATCAAGTATAATACAAAATAATAATAAAATGAAAGGACCTGGGTAAATGGCTTTCGAATCTGCTAAATTTTGTTGCATAAAGTTCTCATATGACTAGTTTTTGAACTTGTGAATTCTCATAATTTTCAAAAACGTTGCAATTTTGCCGATATTCATAGATATTAAAAGTTACGGTTTAATTCTCTTAGACATTTGTGATAATACAATACCGGGCTTTTTTAAAAAGAACTGTACAGGGTGAGTAATTTTTTAAATTAAAGTAGTAAAACAGCAAGGAGAGGTGTTGTACAGGGTGTTCTTAAAAGTGGTTGCAAATGCAAAAAATTAGAAAAGTTTTGTAAATTCTTATAAGTGGAAATTTACAATGCTTCAAGTTTTAAATTGTTTATTACTAATTTTCCATTGCGAAATTAATGCAAAAGTGTTGCAAATCATAAGTGATATACAATTTGTAACCTTATGCCTATCACACAAAATATTTAAATAATTCTTTGTTATACTTAATTAACTGATTTTTAAACGAAAATTTATAATTTTTAGATTATTATACGTTTGCTGTGCAGCTTGGCATATATTTTTTATTGCAATTGCCATTGTGTTTGTTCAGAAGATCATTCTTTAATTCCACAATATTATAACCATCATATCCCAAATGCACATCATTGGAAACCTATTATTTACCAACCCAAATATCATTCACCACCTCATTTCTACGAACACATGCAAACTGGCATAAAGGAACCTCTAAAAGAGCTAAAATTGGAAAGTAAACCTATTATGACTATGACCCAGCCGAAGTTACCGGAGAAAAAAGAGGAAATTAAACCTGTCAAAGAAGATGAAAAATCGGTCGAGAAGTCATTAAAACATTTTATGTCCGAAAATTTTAAACCATTTAAGCAAGACATAAAGGAGATGAAAGAAAAAACCGAGGTAAGACAGTTTTAATTCTTTTGACAAAGCTAGAATAGAACCCACGCATTTGAAATGCCATAATAACATATTTATCGGTATTCAGATACCTTATATTTTTAATTCGACTTCAAACAGCACATTAAAATTTGTGGCGTAAGTCGTGTTAATATTAACAAAAGCTTTGTTTGAGCTTGCGATAACAGCGCGACAGTTTTGAATTTTTAGTTCTCAATATACAGGGCGATGAAACGAAAATTAACTAGTGTTATTATCAGAAATTTGTTACGTATTAAAAAGTGAGACACTTCATTTGAAAGCTAATTTTATTAGCAATTGGTTACCAATTTCAAATTTTCTTTGATGGTGATAAAATTACGGAAAACAAACGATTAATTTGAAGTTTTAAGTAATGACGCTAAATAGGTTTAAAATTGGAGAAATTTATTTGACAATCAAAGCGTGTGTTATGTGAATATTGCGTTGCCTATTTACCTACAGATTGAAAACGGGCTAATCTATTTTTAATAATTCAATTATCGTTTAAATATTGAGACATGGGTTTGAATTTTCAGTTAAAACACCGAAAAGCCTTAATAATGACCTTTCTAATGAAAATAAGCATGCGCGAAAGTAACTTTGTCACACAAGTGCGCCAATAATGTCAAATTATGAATCGCGGAAAACGTCAACTTTTCAGTTAAATTTAAATATGAAAAAACCTACTTCGGATAGTCATAGAGAAATGATTTTTACTAACTGTTCTGTATAACCCCTAAAAATTATAATAATAATATTTGTATTTATCGCTTTTTTTACTTTATAAAAATGTTTTTAGAACAGTTGTAAAGTTTTTGTATATTTTGCAGGAGAAGCCTGAAAAGAAGAGTGAACAAAATATTAGTAAAGATAGTAAGAATCATGATAAAGAAGATGAATCGAAAGAAGGTTAGTGATTTTTTTCTTCTTTTTTAAATGACAATTTGTATTTAATTCAGAGACATGTGTAGTAGTGGCATACTTTCAATACGTAATTTAAAGAGTGGTTTAAATGTAATCCGGAATTTTGTTTGTATTCTTTATCGAATCAAAACTTTCATTAAACAACACGTACTCTATACACCTTTGCCATCTTCTTGTGATCTTTATAATACCTTTTTTATAAAAGGTTTTTGGTTGGGTAGCAAGACAGTTTTGCAAACTTTCAGCCGCCCAAAGCTTCTTTGAGAGTTTCTTACAAATCGAAGAGCTATGGGGAGAGTGAGATCATGATTCGTGGACTGAAACGGTGGCCTCATCCCGGTTGCTAAAGACAAAGTGACTTCACATAATGAAAAAGTGAGTTGACAGAAAATATTCTACTTGGGTTCGTATATTCTATTTTATTGTTATTTAGTGATGTTTATATTTTTATTTATAAACTATGTTCTAGTGTTAAAGTTTTCATAATATCAGAGGTCTGATTTTTTACTTTACTATCTGTATACAGATAAGGAAAGTATAGAAATCATTTTATAGAATATATTGTTTATTTACGTTTGGAAAAGAAAATTCTTCAAATAAAAGTTACTTATAATGAAATTATAAATATTTTTTGTTCTATACAAAATTTTCCTAAAATGGTCCGTATTCGAGAAATTTGACAAAATGTAAAAAAAATATTTTTTATAAAAATTGTTTAAATAAAAGTTGTTTGTAATATAATTCTCTATAATTTTTATTTTATACATAATTTTTCTAAAATGAACCGAATTCGAGATAATTGAAAAAATGTGTAAATTTGGAATTTTGAAGAAAACTCAAAAACGGATAGAGGAAAAAACATTAAATTTTAAACTTAAGTTTTATTTCGGCCTGACGTGAAATGATTAGATTTTGGACAAAGTCAGAACATCTGGGGGGGTACTTTATGGGAGGCCGTTTTTATATTTATGGAATATATCTGTTATTTATGTTTGGAGAAGAAAATTGTTTAAATAAAAGTTACTTCTAATATTATTATCTATAATTTTTGTTTTATGTCAAATTTTTCTGAAATGGTCCGTATTCGAGAAATTTGAAAAATAGTGCAAAATTCTGATTTTTAAGAAAATTGTTAAACTAAAAGTTGTTTGCGATATCAATCTCTATAATTTTTGTTATTAAATGATTTTTCTAAAATGAACCGTAATGGAAAAATTAGAGGAAAAGTGCTAAATTTAAATTTTTCAATATTTTCGTTTCCAATGAATATCTATAGAAAAATGTTTCGAGTTAGATATATGTGGAAAATGTATATATTTAGTTTATCCTCTAAACATTCATAGAGGTGCTACAATAAGTTGTACAAAGTAACCGGAAAAAGCCTATAATAACTAGATAGGAAAGTCATGTGTAGCAAGGACAAATCATGTAATTACTTCCATAAAATTTCAAATGAATTGTAGAGAAATATTATTGTGTGAAGGGTTTATTTTAAACATTTTGAGCTACAGTACGGCCTCCGAGCCGAACTCGTACCACACATTGTTTATACCCTAAAATATTTTGAAATTTTAGCATGCCTGGAGTGAGCTGTTGGCAAACAATTTTTACACACAAAAATTATTAGAAAAAAAGGGACTGAGCCTAAAATAAAATTAAAGACTAATGATAAGATTTTAGAATATTATTCTGTAATTACATTCACTATTATTAAATTAATTGTAGCTTTGTCCACCCTAAATTTAAAAGTAGATGAGATGGAACAAATGATATGGTTTCTTACAAAAATTAAACATAACCAACAATAAGAAAAGTCAAAGAGCTTTACTAAAAGAACATACATTATTGAAAAAGGGTTTTTTTTGGAAAAAATGAGTTACAAATCATTTTAAAGAGAATTCATAAGAAATTTCTAAAGCATTTACGATAAGATATTTAAGTAAAAGGTGCTATCTTTATTAGAAATACTCTTACGCAACCCTTGCTGGGGATTTCAACTTTACAAAAGTGCTCTTGGTTTTGTTTAATGCTCATAAGAATGTAGAAATCATCTCATCTGCTTTTAAATGTAGGGTGAAAACTGCAGAATTTAATTACAGTTTAACTTCAGTCCCATTCCTCCGATGATTTTTATTTTTAAAAATTGTGTCTGCAACACTACATCTCGCTCCAGTCATGCTAAAATTTCAAACTATTTCAGAATATAAACAAATTGTGGTCCAAGTTCGATTCGTAGGCCGTACCCTAACCCAAAATATTTAAAATAAACCAATCATTACATGATTTTTCCTTGCTGTTTTATAGCTTATCTTTTAAAAACTCAAACTACCGATATTTTATAAAACAACACTGGGAAATAGTTTAAAATAAAAATATAAACAAATATTAATAAAATATAAGATTAAAAAAAAACTAATGTACGAAAGGCAGCAGAATATTTTCGGTCATTTTGATTTTCCATTCTGAGACGTCACACCCTTGTTCCTAGCTATAGGACGAGACCACCGTATTGTCTACGAACCGTGGACGTATTCGACAATAGTCAATTTTATAACCTTACTACTTTTTCTACAAGTAAATGTGCAAAAACCACATACTTTGATTACTATACGAGGCAAGAGAGAGGTCCGACACGCCCAACATAGGGCGCGGCCATTTTGAACCCTGTGACACAGTTTACAGCTAAAGAATCAGATCGCGCACTCTGCGTCGGCACTTTGGATCTCAATGTTTCAGTTTATACACTGTGCAACTCGGATAATACAATATATGACAACCGCCTATAATAAAACAGCAGTCTTCTGCGTATCCTGAATTTGTATCCCTGGAGTGGATGTTATTTTGGAACTTTCAACTGGTTCGAGTGAGCTAACTGATTCTTTAGCAATAAACTGTGACTTCAAAAATAATATTCACTGACACTGACAGCAGCAAGCAAAATATCAGGTGCGTTTTAATCATCCGCTTCTGCTTCCGGAATTGTCGGTTTAGTCGTTTTAACCTGTCAGATTAAAACAAGGAAACCGACAATTCCGAAGCAGAAGCGGATGATTAAAACGCACCTATTAAAAATATTGCGCCAAGATGTAGGCAACACGTAATATGGGAACAAAATGGCGGAGTTTTCTATCTCCTTTTAAAAGGCACTCAGAAAGCTGCGCAGTGCGACCATTCTCCGTATTAGGCATTCCAAACAGAATGGCTACCAGTGGGTTTTGACAGGTTATAATATGGTAAAATTATGGCAACCCTGTAGGCCTGGTGATTTGACAAGGTCAATAAAATATATACTTATATAGATTGATCATCCCTATTTTTCAAAACAAACATAAGCTTATGCCTTGAAGTAAAAATGTAGGTATTTATTTTTTTACTATATCCAAAGGTTCAATTTTGGTTTGTAAACACATTTTTTTTAAATCGATTCTGATTAATGAGCACTAGCGAGGCAATATGGCCGATCGTAACCGACTTGCTTTGAGCAATCTCTATAATTATAATATGTATGATTGACCCTATCAATGACAACAGGCTCACAGAGTTGCTCTATCTAAATGTCAGTGCCCACTTGTCAGCAGTTTGACAGGTCGTTGGAATGCCTAATTAGGCATTCCAACGACCTGTCCAAATGGCTATCAGTGGGTAATGACAGTTTAGATATGGCAACCCTGTTGTCATGTTGACATTAATAGGGTCAATGATACATATATAGTTATATAGATTGCTCAAAGCTGGTCGTTTGCGAGCGGCCATATTGCCTGGCAAATATTTATTAATTTGAATCGGTTTAGCAAAAATGTGTTTTAAAACCAATTGTCAGCCTTTAGATATTTAAAAAATAATAACTGCTGACATTTTTATATCAAGGCATAAGCTTATGTTTATTTTGAAAAATATGGATGATCAATCTATGTAACTATCTATTTCATTGACCTTGTCAAATCACCAGGCCTACAGGGTTGCCATAATTTTGCCATATCATAATCTGTCAAAACCCACTGGTAGCCATTCAGTTTGGAATGCTTAATAGTAAAAGAAAATCAAAGTATGTGGTCAGACCTCTCTCTTGCCTTGTATAGTAATCAAAGTATGTGGCAAAAACAAACGATGACGTTGTTTCTAATTAACAGATTATTACATATCGATCAACCCCTGACAAATGTATCTTTGGTTAGCGCCTGACGCGGATTTTGCTATACCTGTCAAGGCCCATCATTTTTTTAATTTTATAGATGAGAAGCATCATCATCAACATCACGATAAGAACGCGTACTACAAGTTTGAGTATAGTGTAAACGACAAAAAAACCAAAGACGTGAAGCACCAGAAGGAAGAGCTCCATGGTGATAAGATAGTTGGAGAGTATTCATTGCTGGAAGAGGACGGGAACGTAAGAACTGTGAAATATACGGCTGATTGGAAAAATGGATTTCGAGCTCAAATTCATAATTCTAAAAAGATGTAACTTTTTAAAAAATAACGAGTTTAATTAAGCGTTTATATCAAATATGTTTCATATTTTTGCAACAAGATATAGACGGTTCTGAACCTTAAAATACTTTAAAAATATTGATAAGAAAATCGAAAGACTGGAGATTGATTTAAATATTTTTGAATGGGATCATAAAATAGTCAATAGTTTAAGGAAAATTAAAAATTCGTATTTTTCTTTTAAATGTGTAATTGAAATTTTCCTCTTCGTAAGTCCATACATACGCACATTTATGTTGATTTTACATACATACAGACATACAGGAATTTCTTATTTCTAAAAATATTCAACACAACAAAATGATAAAAAAATACAGAAACTGAGTATGGCTCACTATTCCATATTTATTTCTAAAATCGTTTCTTTTTGCATTATTGGCACAATTCCTTGAAAGTTAGTCGACCATATTCAGTTTCATGATATACAGAGGGAGTCTATATCAACCGACATTATTGAGATATCCTAAGACGTATTTCTGTTGAGTAAAAAAAAATGTTGATTTTAATGGTGACTTAAACGTGAACATTTTTAATTGATTTTGTCTTTAGGTCATCAAAATATCGTTCATTGAATTAGTATCCACCCTGTATTTTTGCCGTAAACTTTTATACGAAAATTTGCACTATATCGTGAAAAATTTGAATTAAAGTCTTATCTCTAAATTTTAGTAATAAATAAACTTGTACAAAATATAACAGAAATATACAAAACAAAATGTACACAAAACAGTGTGTTTTGAAAAAATGTGCCATTTTGTATTCATGGAATGTAGATTTCCAGGGAATTTTAGATGCATTATTAAATTTTTTTAATGAATAGATATTTATATTTTGACACCCTGTATATATCCAGTTATTTCAACTTTTACATTCTAAAGACTCGAAAACAATATATTTATTTCAGATGGCATATTTTTGAAAAACACACTGTACATTAATACTTAAAATACCTAAAATATATATTATAAACAACTAGGATATATTGAGCAACTTGGCCTTTTAAATAGAAATACGCCAAGTTAAAAAAAAAATAGTGTCAGATTCTTTAAAAACTGAATTGTGCGGTGTAATATATCCGTTTTTTTTTGCTGAGAGAAAATTTTGACATTTTTATTTTATTCGGATATTTTTTTTTGTTGTAAAATACCTAGTTCATTAATAAAATATGTTAATTAGAATCAATTATTTTTCCTAATTTAGAAATTTTGTCAGAAACGAAATATGTTTAATGTATTGTATTTTTATTTAGACAATAGATACCTATTTATAGATACCTACTTATAGATACCTATCTGTAGACAACTATTTGTACATACTGTTTGTATTTTATAAAAAAATTAATATATATATTTTTTTAAATCTTTGATTATTATTTATTTACCCGTACGAAAAATCTAAAACTGTACCTAAACATTAACAAAATTGAGCCGAACGATATATTCAATATAATATTTCTAATAATGTTTAAAAGTCTAGTCATTTCTTTTCTTTATAATTTATAGAACCTTTCTATCGAAATCTAACTATTCAATAGAATTAACACATTTACCTGATGAATCTCCATTTTTATATGAAACCAAAAAAAATTCTGGAATATAATTTCTTATAACTGACGAACATTTAATATAACTACTTTTTATATGGGGAAAACAAAATTGTTTTCATAAGCGGATTTATCTACATAAAAATACATACAACAAAGATTTATGAAATTTTGATTTAATTTAATTTATGGCATTTAAAATGAAATGACAAAACATCTACATTTTTCAAAAGTTTGTAAAGAATATTTAATAGATAATAATATATTAAAAAAATATGTTTATAAATCAAAATTATTACTAAATCAAATTATTGTAATTAGTTTGTTTAGATGAATTAACATATTTTATCAATTACAGTTACAGTTTCTATGACATAGTTATTTATATTAAACTATGATGTATTTTCATTAAATACATATCTATTTCATTAAAACTACTTACGGATCAACTATTACTAAATTTTATATATTCAATAATAATGATGACAATAAGATCTAGAAGAAAAATAAAATCGGGTATTTCAAAATTGATCTTACTTTAAATTAAATTCGATAACTATTTATAAATTTAGCGTTAAAAATATTTTATTATTTGATTTTTGTTGTAATTTTTGACATTTGTGAATATTATTTTTGTATCACTTTAACATATTTTCAAGGGTACTTTATTAATGAAACACCATGTATACTTTTTCGTCAAGTTAAGGCAAATAAACTAAAATTCCATGTTTCCTTTAACTCTAGTTTTTCCACTTATAAAAATATTAAAAAAATATAGGTAAAGAATTTTTTTATTTTATTTATAGGAGACTTTAATTAACTGTCATAATTTTTTTGTGCGCACAATTGTTCTAAAAAATCGTTTCAAATTTATATTATTAATATAAATGATTCAAGATGATTTATATTTGTTTAACCATCATCATAAAATTTTTAAAGCCGGCCCTGTTTATAAACAGATATTTTATTTTTCCATGGAAGTACATGGTTCTATGGCTCTATGTAAATTATATTTAGTGCTACTGACGCTTTCCACAGATATGGATACGCATTATTGAACCCATGTACAGTAAACGATGTAGTTTAATCTTTAAATATCAACAGATTTCTCATAAAAATGCTTTATATTTGTGAACGTATTTTAAAAAAGGCGGAAAATGTAGTTCCATATTCTAATAATCGTATAATTTGGGGTCAAAAAATAATGAATATACCCTTTGCTCATTTTAGAAAAAATTAAATTTTTTTCAAATTTGCATACGCATAGAATACAACATTTGGAACTCAAAAAAATGCTCACGTCTTGTATATTAGAGACGATTTATTTAAAAATTTATCCAGATTCGTATTAACAAAAAAATAATATTGACGGAACCTTGTATTAAAAAATAATGGCAGTTAATTAAAACCACCTGTGAAGAAAATAAAAAAAATATTTATAATGTTTTGATATTCTTAAAATTGAAAATTTAGGACTAGAAAACGAGAAATTAAATTTTTAATTTATGTATTTGAAATAATTCAGATACGGTTCTGAATTTTTAGTTTCCCATTTAACTGTATATCTATGTTTTCTTCTTTACGAGGTGTGTAGTTCTTAGAGGCCACTTCGGTAAAACCACCCTATATATTTATAATAGATTTTTATTTGAACCGAATTACTACTTCTTTTAGTACTCTTATCATTCCTCTTCGTCCTTTTTTTGTCCTAGGTTAGTCTCCTTTTGTTACTGCGACGTTTCCTTTCCATGTTCTCTATTTTTTTCTATTGACTTCTTAAGTACGTATTATACCAACTTAATATAAATTTTTCTTACACGGTAATATCATTTTCTTGGTTTTTATTTATGATCCTTGTACTAATTCAACATTTTCTTTTAATGGAAGCCAACAATAACAAGAACAATAAAATAATTAAATACATTTAACGCTCATTGTATACCTACATTCAATAAAGAAAAAACTTAAACAAATTTTTCACAAAAATAAATAATCGAAAGACCAATTTTAAAATAAGAGTTATTCATTTTTATTTCTCTTGCAGATAATTTTTTTTATCTACTTGATTGCATCAATTACAATAGGGTTTTTGTAAAAGTCAAACCATTTTAAATGGCAAATAAATTATATTCAATTATCAACAAATCGTTATTTTTATTAGGAATATGCAGTTGAAATATAAATTAAAATATCTTCGTGCTTCAAGAGAAAATAAACAAATCGATGTTTGATAATGATTAAATATTTAACAATAATTTATAATTAAGTATTTGGAAAGACAATAGAAAATATATGGAACAAAAAATTATATTTTTAAACTTTGTTATAATACTGTTTGGGTTGAATGTTTTATTTATCAGATACTTACTTTAGAGGATTTATCTAGTATATTTTGGGTGCTTACTAGGTTTTGAACATCTCCAAACAGTGAAAAATGTTTTTACCCTTGTTACAATATAATTATTTACATTTCTATTACATTTTAACAAGCTTTCTAAATTTATTCGGTTCTTAATTCATAAAGTCTGTAACTCCATATTTTTATGATTAAAATTTGATATCATTCAGCTACTTTAAAGAGTGATCACTTCCAATATATGAAATACATGGTTTTAAATAGTGGAAAGATCAGGAGGTTAGAATTACACCAGGGGTAGTATTCTCGAGTTACGAATATAGATTCGCATGCGAGATTTATGATTTGTCTCACTTGGTTTTCGTTCAACAAAGTGAGACACATTGTAAAACACGTATGCGAATGTCGGTATTCGTGATTCGAGAATACTACCCCTGGGCTTGGATTTTTTTTTAACCAATTCTTAAATATTCCCCCCAAGTAAACTTTGTTATTTCAAACAATAACTATAATATTTTAATATATTTTTAACGTTTCTTTGTATTAACTACTCCAAACACTTAACAGAGCAACTATATAATATTGAAGGAGGTAATTTCTTTGTCTATTTTATGACTAAAATATCATGTAAACATGCTCTAAATTGCTTTTTTTTAAGAGTCAGGATGTTAAATTAAAAAAATCGGCATTTTATTAATATCACAAACATTACTTTGATTAAACTTGTCAGATTTGTTTGTACTACTTCAAAGGATCATTTAAACACGGTTGGACTTAAATTATTAAATCCACACATTGTATTTAAAAAAAAAACAATTTAGAACACATCTTCATATGATATTTTAGTCATAAAACAAGTATTACAAATTTAAAATTTAAAAAAACCGACTTCAAAAACGTGCAGATGCCATCACCACATTTTAACCAAATTTATATGAGACCACCCCTGAGGTACCCCCTTACTAATAAAAAAAGAATCGTATAAATCGGACGAGGTGGTAAAGCATTATCGCTAAACATACATTAAAAATGAAGACTTTGAGGATTTTCTCATGGATCTCATTATTAGATTTTGACCAAATTTATATGGGACTACCCCTGAAATACCCCCTTTCTAACAAAAAAAGAATCATTGAAATCGGACATCGTATTAAAGAACATACATAAAAAAATATCGCAACGAATTGATAACCTCCTCCTTTTTTGAAGTCGGTTAATAAAGCAAGAAATTACCTTCCTGATATGACATTTATAAAGCTGCTGTATAGAAAAAATTATTTGAAATTTATTTCTCTCGAAGCACTGACTTTCATAAACTTTTATCACTTTTTAACAAAATTGTACCTATGTATGCTATAAAGATTTGCATAATATCTAAATGCCCTGTATTTACTGGTTCAACAATTCGAGTTGATTAGAACTGGTATTATTAAAAGTCAAAAAAAGTTATGTTTCAAACCCTTACATTTATGTAAAAAACAAATCGTAATATAGTTGCAAAGGTACCTTTCGTAAAGAATACTGAAGTTTTCATTGCAAGAAAATTTTAAAATAAAACTGCATTATTTTATTTAAATACTTTTAATTAATTGACCTCAAAGAGATTCTCTTGGTTAACTTTGTCGGAGATCGTGTTGAGATCAAAGAATTGAACGAAAGTAAAATTAACATTCTTATGCGAGTAAAATTTCAGTTTATATTGGTACCTGTGCAACTAATATTTTTATGTAAAACAAAGAATGTTCAAGATCAATTTTTCAGTCACAAATATTTAACAATTATTTAACCGTGTACATATTTAACAATTCGTTTTTTTTTCTCTTACTTTTTAACAGTCCATTTTTAGTTCATTTCCGTGATTCTTTTTGGTTATGTGTATAATACTAATTTGGACTAGCTATGGAAATGAACTCGTCAAATGTCGAAAATACCATGTAAATATCTTAATTATATTATAATAGATAAAAGTAAGAGTATTCCATTCTAGCAGGACATTCGACTGCATCAGGATATAAAATTCAAAATACAGGAAAGCTATGTCTCGAATTTTGCTCTCCTAAGCACCCAAAGCAGTAACATTTTTAGTCTGTTATAGGTAAGTATAAGCAGCAACCATATTCTGTATTTAAAGCAAAGCGGATACTAACAAACAATTTATCAATAAAAGTAGCATTAAATAAGACAGATTCACGAACTTGATATTCGATAATAAATACAGAAAACCATTGAACGAAATGCAGTTATTACTTAAATAAATAATAATATAATAATATAACAGAATTCAAAACGCTTAAGAAATATACATCTTTTCGATATTTAATGATTTCATTTTCAGAAAAATGTCCGATTAGTCCTTTTTTAGATTAAAGCACGTTAGATATTTTTTAAAAGGAGCACATATTGAGAATTTTGGGCACCTTACTAACCAGCGTCCTGCAATGATATAGGTATGTGACATATTTCGTGTGGGTGAAGTGTCAAAATATATAATTAAAAACAAAATATGCAAAAAAGGAAAAATCAATATTATGTATAAATACCTAGTTTCTAATAACTTTTCAGAAAGGTGTGATGTGATGTGATTCTACAGGACAATCAGAAAATCCTTCTGTATATTATTTACGGTACCTACCACTAAGATTAGAATTATTATTTATGTAAAACCTCATGTCATACGTTGCCAAAAATGAAAAGAATTTGATTTTACCCTTTTTTTTTGAAGTTCAGATAATAATAAATGAATTATTAATAATCCAAAATAAGTTTTTAATATTTTAGAGTTTCAGAAATGGATTTAATATATTCAGAAATTCTAATTACAATTCACTGGGTTTCTAATTTTGGGGACACGTGAAGTATTTGGTTTTTGTCAATGAAATTCCTTTACGAAATGAACTCTGGGAAAAAATACAA